AGAAGAAAGAAAGGGGCGGAAAGAATAATGGCTGACATCTCTCTAAATTTGATGAAAATTTTAAGTCTGCATTTTGAAGAATCTCTGCAGATTCCAAGGAGGATGGACTCTAAGTAATCCACACCCTGACACATCATAGTCAGTCAAAAACCAAAGACGTAAAATCATGAAAACAGCAGGGAATAAGTGAATCTTCATACACACGAGATCCTCAGTCCTATTAACACCTGGCTTCTCATCAGAACCATGTCATCCCACTGCTCTCTGTGGCCAGGTTGGCCAGCATTTACTGGACATGATTAGCCCTGACAGATTCTGTTGGATTTGTGTGCCTCTCTGCTTTATAAGCCCTGTGTGTCCGATTTTCTGTGACACAGCTTTTACTTATAGTGATGACATGCCTTATAATCATCCTCTTTGTGACAGCAGACATGCTCAGACTAGCTGTGCTAAATCGTTTCAACAGTGCCTGGATCTATAGATATCAAGAGTCAAAAGCCTCTTTAGTTAAGATACCCCACTCAACAGGGTAAGACTTGTGACTTCCTTTTGTGTGTAATGACTCACAGGTGAACTACTGAAAGGCATGTGGGATGCTATAGCTCCTAGTTTGGTTTCCTTTTTCCTATTGTGTGGAAGTCTTTTATTTGGCTGGATTGGTTACCTAGGAAACAGCTGCAGGGTAAAGATGGATTGGCTGTTTGGGAAATAGAATTATAGGCCCCTTAAAGAGGCAAAAGATCTATTGGATAAAACAAAAATTAGTGAATGGTTGAGCTTGTGGTTAATGATTAATTAGTGTGCCTTAGGAAATCACACTGAGTAAGACAAGGTCTACATAAGAACCTATTTAATCCTGCATGATTTTAAATTTAGCTTGTTTTTAATTCTTTCAAGTTCGCGAAATGCTTATTAAGTCCTGCTTTGTGCCCACTGCTGCAGGCCATTTGGTGGGGGAGGTGGCTGTTCCAGTGAAGTAGAAGGTTCAGTTCTCTCCTGAAAAGCCCATTTTCTGTTTGAGATAAAAAAAGAAGCTACCTTAAAATCAAGTGCGTGATTGTGTGATACAGACTAAAAGTGTCCAGAGAATTTGGAGGATGTAAAAGGTCTTGGCTAGTCAACATGAGAGATGGATTTGAATCTACAAACAGGAGATAATTCTTTGAGGTAAAAGATGAAATTTAAAGACCTGGTGTGAGTTTGGGTTCTAACAGTACCTGAATTTACAAGATGTAATAGTGGCAGCACAGTTAACCTTTGCAGATTCCTCTCCCCAGACAGCTTATGGAAAATATGTGACTATGATAGAAACTATATTGACCTAGAGTCTTACTCAAGAGAAAGAATTATAGTGGCAATGTTGACTCTTTGTATAGCCCTCCTATAATTTATTTAAGGAAAGTCTATTTTCACTAAAAGTGTGACAGAATATTGGTTTTTAGAATTTCTGACCACTATAGCAGTGCTGGGCACAAAGACATTCAATAAAATTTTTGTCAGCTGATGTTCTTATATACAGTATATCTTAGGGCTCTCAGCTAGCTTCAGCAATCTTTTCTTCCAGAATGTAGCTGCTTCCAAATGAGTATTTGGTCTTGATGTGTGATAATAAGGACTTTTGTAAATATAGGCGTATAACTCTGCTTTTAAAACTGAACGTCTGGGGGCACCTGGGTGGCTTAGTCGGTTAAGTGTCCGACTTTCGCTTAGGTCATGATCTCGCGGTTTGTGGGTTCGGGTCCCCCCTCCGGCTCTGTGCTGACTGCCAGCTCAGAGCCTGGAGCATGTTTCAGTCTGTGACTCCCTCTCTCTCTGACCCTCCCCTGTTCACTCTGTCTCTCTCTCTCTCTCTCCTAGAAATAAATAAAACATTAAAAAAAAAAAAACTGAACATCTGGGGGCACCTGGGTGGCTCAGTCGGTTAAGCATCCACCTTCGGCTCAGGTCATGATCTCACAGTTCGTGGGTTCAAGCCCCGTGTTGGGCTCTGTGCTGACGGCTAGCTCAGAGGCTGAAGCCTACTTCAGATTCTGTATCTCCCTCTCTCTCCGACCCTTCCCTGCTCACGCTGTCTCTCACTCTCTCTCAGAAATAAGTAAAACATTAAAAAAAATTTTTAAACTGAACATCTGTCAGGTTATTTCCTTTTGGTTTGTAGAAGGGACACTTTTCATTTTCATTTTCTTAGTTGTTCTATTTCTGTTCACTTGGTGTGTTATGCCAGTCAGGAGAAACAAGAACAACCCCCTTCAGAGAGCTTAACAATCTACAGGCACAGGAGGTTATGTTGAATTTGAGCCCTAACACTCTGCTTTGTCTGTAAACAGGAAGTAAGAGGTAATATAAGAATACTCAAATATTTTAGGGGCACCTGTGTGGCTTAGTCGGTTAAGCGTCTGACTTTCGCTTAGGTCATGATCTCGCGGTTCGTGGGTTCGGGCCCCATGTCAGCCTCTGTGCTGACTGCCAGCTCAGAGCCTGGAGCCTATTTCAGAGTCTGTGTCTCCCTCTCTCTCTGACCCTCCCCTGCTCTCGCTGTCTCTCTCTCTCTCTCCCCTAGAAATAAATAAAAATATTAAAAAAAAAAAAGAATACTCAAATATTTTGAAGGAGAGATAGTTTAGTTACTGGACCCACAATTTTAAATATTTCTCAACAAAAGGTAGTTATCAAATGTAGACCTAAGTCCATTAGTTATATAGAGTTACCAATAAAACTTTCTTAAATTGTGAAGAAAGTTACTGCTGTAGTCAGAATCCACAATATTGGATTTTGTCAGAGGATTTTTCATTGCCTATTGTCTATTCTTAGAGCAATTACAGTTTTATAAATGGGATAGTGACTATAGGCGGTAATTTGTTTGAAGTCTTTTTGCTGAATGATCAAGGGTAGTTTCCTTTCATTCTTGAGCATTACTGTGAATACCTTCTTTATTTCCAAAATTATAATAAAATGCTTTTATCATAATAAGACAAGCTCTATCCCCCAACTTTTCTTTTCAATGAAACTTTTTACTGTTTCAGTTTAAAAACAATTAGGCAACTTCCTGGTACCTACTCATCCTACCCTCTGCCTTTTTCTGGTTCAGGCAATTTCAAGGTTAGCAATTAAGTGTCAGAAACTTTGAACTTATTTACTTCTCTTAGACCTACTAAGTCACTGAGCTCCAAGCAGCACCTAGAAGGGACAGCGTGTGGCATTGTTATAAAGGTTTGCTCACTCTCTATTCCCCTCCCAACCCTCATATGTCTCCATTCTGCCGGAGATGATCCCAAATTATAATGATGTTTACCTATGTAGAGATCACAAGATGGGCATAAATATTGGATGATTTCAGAGAAAAGGGTACAACTTGTTTGAGTACTCTTCTTCCACTCAGTCAAAGGAGTTGTCAGAATAGCATGGGGGGGGGAGCAGGGAACTACAACTCAGTTTTCAGAGAACTGATTTTTTGCTTCATTTTCTTTGAACACTTGGTTTATTTCTAAAAATATATCAGTGGCAAAACACAGGTTGCACAGGCGCCAGGTGGCCTTGGCAGTTGAGTGTCCTACTCTTGATTTCATATCCAGTTGGCTCAGGTGGTGAACCCGGGGTTGTGGGATTAAGCCCGGAGTCAGGCTCCACTCTGCACATGGAGGCTGCTTAATAGCCTGCCTCTCTCTCTCTCTCTCTCTCTCTCTCCCCCCTTTCTCTCTTTCTCCCTCCCCCTTCCCTTCCTCTCCTTGTCTCCCCCTTGCCCCCCTTTCATCAGTCACATCAACCACACAGGCATCCATATCCTCATGTCCAGCTCTGGTCTATCTTTGCCCACCAAGGCAGCTTCCCAAAATGTCCCTAGGAATTCTTACTGACTTTCCTCGAAAAAGGAACTTGTTTGTGGCAAGTGCTGTGATTTTGAGGTTAATGTGTTTTTGTTGGTGGTGGTGTTGATGTTTTTGTTCAAATTGAGAAAATAATTAAGACCAAAAAAAGATGTAGAAGTCTACTATGTTTTCAGTGGTTCCAGGAATTTCTTTTCTTGTATTTTAGACAACAGTCTTTCCATTGGTAGTTGCTCTAAAAGGGAGAAACAAGCAGTTTTCACTCAAAAGTAACATTTTAATTGTTCTTCTTAATGAAAAAGAGAATAAAATAAATACTTTTGCCTTCCATATCTGGGTTTCTGTAAATCAATTCACCCCAAATTTGATAGAGGGGTTTCTTGAGTTTGACATAAGAACATGTTTATGTAAAAATAACCTGTTTTATAAAAATCACTTTCATGCTATTTAAATGGGAGAGGGGGCATTTGAAAAATTACCACTAACGTCTTTGCTTTTCTGCTGAAGCGTGCTACAAATGGTTTAGCAGTCCAGACAATTGTATGTTGTATGCAAATTGTTGAGCTTACCAAATGGGGGGAACCTACCAGTTTTCCCAGCGTTTTCTTGAATTTAATGAAAAAGTATTACAATATATTGTAATATTTTTAGGCTTTTTAACTTTAATAAAATATGTTCATTCTAATATTTAATCTAGTATTTAATTTTATCTCTATATTATGATTAGATATTTCAAGTTTGCCTTCATTTTCCTGAAAGGGGTTTTTTTCTCATCCAAAATCAAATAATATACATTGAGTCTTGGATCTGAGAATAGAAAAGTTCTTCCTGAGAGTATGTAAGTTCAGTAAGAGCAAGAGCCTCATCTGTCTTGCTTGTTGTTATTTCCCTAGAGCCCAGAACATTGCCTGACACAAGTGCTCTGAAAAGTACTTGTTTAAATGAATGACTGAAAGAACTGTCTCTTGTGGTTTTGTGATTTTTTTTAAAGTTCATTTTGTATGTTAAGTATGATTACATTGTGTACTACAGAATGCTGAATAGTAAGACTCAGTGGAATTAAGTGCCTGAGTGACCCGCAGAAATAAGATTTAAGGACTCAAGGGGTGTTGGTGGGGAATATTCCCTGGGAATGACAAACCCACTCAGTTATTCCCACCTTTTGCATCTCCCCAGGAGCACTCACTGTGGGCCTTGTGCGACAGTGTCAGACAATCCATGGACGAGACCGGACGTGCATCCCACCTCGGCTTCCCCCAGAGTGGGTCACCACACTGTTTTTTATCATCATGGGAATCATTTCATTGACTGTCACATGTGGTTTGCTGGTGGCTTCCCACTGGCGAAGAGAAGCTACAAAATATGCTCGATGGATAGCCTTCACTGGAAGTAAGTAACCTGTACTCACCAAATTTGTCTAGAAGGCGCACACTCTGGTAGTTTAACGAAGATAATCCAGAATCAGTAATAAGGACTCCATAATCATCAAAGAGTACCCCTGCTCTGGCCATCATATAGACTCTACGCAGCCCCGTCAGTTCTTCAGAATTCTCACCATGAGACCAAGACATCCAAAACCTTAATTGCTTTGTATGAAATGCTATCTTGATGAATTTTATTTTTGCTTACATTGTTACCTAAGTGTTCCAGGTCTGTGGCTCAGTGCTACCACTAACCTGAGTCTTTTACTCTTCTTAAATATATTGGCATCCTCTACCAAATAAAGATAAATTTAGAAGAAAATATACAGAAATATAAATTAGATTAAGATAGTGATTTGCTTTTCAGTATCATTAATTTTGAGTTTCTACTGTGAGCTGTTGTGGGACCATTGAAAAATCAGCACATATGGTTGTTCGATAATTATTTATCAACATTTCTTACTCCATTAAGCTATGCCCCAGGGTATGATATATATTATACATTCTCTTGTACTTTGCAAGATAATTTAATTTCCCAACACATCACAGGCTTTTCCCAAATTAAAAACAGTAAAAAATGAACAAAGAAAAGATATTTCTATAATTTTGCTTTCTTCCTTTTTTCTCTCTAAAGTAATTTTGCTTCCCTTCCTCCAGGGAGAGAGGACATTTGTCAGTGTCTGGGAACATTTTTGATTGTCACAGCGAAGGGGATCCTACTGATATTTTGAGTAGAGGCCAGGGATAGGGCAGAACACTCCCGACCACAAAGACTTATCTGGCCCAAAATGGCAATGGAGATGTATTTATATTGTAATATTCTTGGGCTTTTTAACTTTTAAATAAAAAGTAAAGTTATCTAAAGAACAGGATAACAATACTTATGCCAGATACCATGGGATTTAACTTCTAATTCAGTGCCTTATAATTATCTCAGGTTTGCATAAGCTGTAAAGAATTAATATTATAATACAGCTTACTTTCACTTGATATTTTCATTTAGAACTTGTATGGTAGAGGTAAAGCACAATCCCATGTCTCCCCATTAGTGTTAGAGCTCAATTTATCCTTAAAGGCCCGAAGATAGGAATATTACTTCATGAGTCTCCATTTCTCCCTATCTCTCTGTGAAACGCTTTAATGTGTATATTTCTGGCTCTGTTTTATTTTTGTCTAAATATCTCCCTTAATTTTAAAACTTACATCAACTTGCCTTTGACTACAAGAGTCTTCATTCTTCTTAAGAAATGTAAAACAAGCTGAGGACCTGTTTGAGGTCAAACAGACCTCCTGAGACCATTCTTTTCTATATAGTAGGGCCCACAGGCAGCTGTAGAGACAGTGCTGCTAAATTAAACGGTATTGATGAAGACTTTAAAGAGAATTGTTACACAGATACATTACTTATCCAGATAGAATTCATTCTTTAAGAAGTAAAATAAAATCAAAGAAAAGGAGTATTTAGTTGCTGGACTTAGTTAAAATTGGGAATGCATATGCTCTGAATACTAGAAATCAAAAATATAGTTTAATATTAACACTACTTTAGTATGAGTCAAAGAAACCATTAAAATGTTTATGGGAGCCATTGATTCTTGTGACCCAATAAAGGAAAAGAACTAGGGTCATCTTGTTTTTCATTTCCTTTCAACAGAATATTTTCTCTTTATTGTTTAGTTTAAGGATTTAAAATCATAACTTTAAAAAATAATATGTGCATATGGTACATAATTCAAAGCCTAAGAAAGGGTCCCCAGGTGAAAAGTAAGTGTTACTTGTGACTCTGTCAGCTAGCCACTCAATATCTCTTTGCTGGAAGCAACGACTGTTACCAGTTTTGGGGATTGCTCACCAGAGGTGTCCTAATAAGCATAGAAACGTATGTGTATATGTGTGAATGTCCCATAAATATATATTCTATTTATACTGTTCTGTACCTTGATTTTTTAGCTCAACTGTATCTCCTAGTTAATGTCATCTAAGCAAGCACAGCTGCATTACTCTTGTGTGCTTCCTTCAGTAGGTCGTTTTTGTTAGCAGAGCTAGTCGGCTGGGGTGACAGTCTTCAGAGGGATTGAGCTCCCCCTGGTGTTTCCACTCAGCCTTTGAAAATGTACTTCATCTCTATTTTATATATTTCTATTCCACTTAAACTATAGTTTTGGTCAGAATGTCAGAGTAACATTTTCTGATAGGTTTACACAGTGGGGAACTATCAGAGGACAGCCACACATGTTACAGCTTGCCTCTGAGGGCAAGGGTAACAAAGATGTGGTTTTTTCTTCAAGTCTGACCCTTAATCCTTTATTCTGGCACCATAATTTACATTCTCATCTCCCAGTACACCCAATATCTAGCTCTCACCACCAAGAAACCTGTGCCATAGAAGATTTGAAGTTATTGTCTTTACAGACTTATTTAGAACCCAAAATTTAATTGTCAAAAGTTGATATTATCAGCATTAACAATATTTTTAAGTTTATTTATTTTGAGGGAGAGATAGAGAGAGAGAGAGACGGAGATGGAGGGAGAATCCCAAGCAGGCCCTATGCTGTCAATGCAAAGCCTGATACAGGACTTGAACTCACGAAACTGAGATCATGACCTGAGCTGAAATCAAGACCCAAATGCTTAGCCAACTGAGCCACCTGGGTACCTTTACATTAATAATATTTTAAGGTAGAGCCTGGGTGGCTCAGTCGGTTAAATGTATTGACTTCACCTCAGGTCATGATCTCATGGCTTGTGGGTTTGAGCACCACATCAGGCTCTGCACTGACAGCTCAGAGCCTGGAACCTGCTTCAGATTCTGTGTTTCCCTCTCTCTCTGTCCCTCCCCTGCTTGCACTCTGTCTCTCTCAAAACTAAACATTAAAAAAATAAATAAATAAAATCTTTAAAAATAAAAATAATAATAATGTTTTAAGATCTAAAGTAACTTCACAGGTCCCAATAGCTTAAAATAAAACTCATCTACTTACATTAAATCTTCCCAGAAGTATAGAGAACTTAATTCTTTGAATTAAAAACCAAGATTAGATTGAATAGGAGTTTATTGCTTCCTTAACATTTGATTAAGCTTTTCCTAACTAGCTTGGAAAATATTTAACTATTATAAAATATTAAACTCTACTTTAAATATAGTCATTAAATGATTACTCCATTATAAAGGATAGGTTTTATTTTACAGTAGAAAATGGAAAAGGATAGGAATGAAGTTGGCACATTAATTGACAGAATGAACAATTGGGATATCTGCATACCTCTAAAGCACTTAAAAATTGTTTCTTGAGATTAGATTAGTCAACACTAAGAAAGAAGTTGTTTTTAAAGCAATAACATTATCTCATTGTTTTTCTATTAAATTGTGTATACCTATGTAGATTGTGGTTTCATTTTACTCACCAAACCATATTGAGGCATAAGCATTAGAAATTGGTGACAGATGACACAGATAACTGGGCATTGACAGTACTAATAGTCTTCTACTGCTGACTATACAACAGAAAGCCCAAAATATCTCATTCGTAATATCTGAATTTTTCATTTGTTCTGTAGTAGGCATCTACAAGAATCCAAATTCACTTATTTAACATTATTTGGTCTGGCCATTGGCCCAAAAGGAAATAGATTCTATGTCTGTCTGTATAATATAAAAGAATCCACCTAAGTGGTGCAAAGCAAACAGAATGCTGATGTGTTCCTTAAGCTAGTGTATTAATTAAATGTTACTTCTTAATACCTTGGATATTACCCTAGAGATACTTCTTCCAGGAAAAGATTCCTAATTGGCTTTCTAGGATTTGCCTATTAAATCTGTTGATTAACACAAACAATTTAGGACAAGTGTTGGCTGGTATGTTTATCCAGGACTCTGTATTCCTGATACAGAAAAAAGTTATGTTTAGCTTGGAAAAAGTTTCTCATTTGGTTAATGATGGAAAGCTTCAAACCCTTCTCGTGCAGGGAGTATAGTAACCTTTCTTCACATCACACTGAAAAAATGTTTCTGCCTCCAAAGAAATTTGAAGGACTGTAAATATTTGACTACTGCTCTTTCAAAAAGCATAAAATATTTCCTTAAAAAGCTAGCCTATCAGTAGGTAGTTTTTGTTCACTAAGAAGAGTGTTTCTTTGGTAGCCCAGGGGAGCAAACTGTTTGCTGAAATAGAGGACTTTGGAACTCTACCCAGATATTGGGTTTTCTGATACCTTTCTTGAAACATTTTAGCAAATAATATACAGTATTTCATTGTGTTTGTATACAAAAAGAAGGTCCTTTTGTCCCGCTTTGACCTCTGTGTACTCAGAAACCTGAGAGTTTTATTTTTTTCTGATATTGTCCATAATGAGAGAGTTTGCTAATCATCTCAGAATTCTTTCCACTAGATGATTTTAAATCAGTAAGAGAACTAGTACTGTATTTGTGTGTGCCTTTTCTGCATTTCCTTCTAATACCAACTGAAAGGGCAGAGAATTAGCAGAATAATAACTATGATGATCATAATATGCAACATGTTTTCAGCACATACTGTCAGCCTGTCACCATGCCAGGGACTTGACATTGTTTTGTTTATCCTTCTGGTATTTACCCCATTTTTAAAAAGAAACCAGAAGCCTAAGATTACACAGCTAGTAAGTAGTGGAGCCAGAACGTAACCCCCATCTGATTCTAGCCAGAACCCTTAATCACTGCTTTAAATGCTCAGGTATAGTTTATGCAAACACCTGAAACTAACCTAACACTGTATGTTAAATATACTGAAATTAAATTTGAAGTTAAAAAAAAGAATAGTCGACATAAGCACTTAGTAGGTTTGGAGGCCTTTCTTAATGCTGATATTCAAAATCGTCTTAACACTTACATAGAAGGCTTTTACTGTATTTAGTTGTTAGGCTTTGTGGATATTATGTGATATATAGTATATGTAAATCTTTTGACAAGTGCTCCATGTTTTAACAGGTTTGACCATGTTATCAACCCACAACACTTCTTTTAAACTTCCTTTGTGCCAGATTTTCATTGTTTTCTTCATCACCAAACCATGTTACTAATGTTGTGTTTTGGTTTGTTTTACAGTGATCCTTTTCTGTATGGCTGCCCTAATATTTCCAATAGGATTTTACATCAATGAAGTCGGAGGTCAACCTTATAAATTACCCAACAACACAGTAGTTGGGTCATCATACGTACTTTTTGTCTTATCAATTTTCTTTACAATAGTAGGACTTCTATTTGCTGGCAAAGTTTGTTTACCAGGCTGATGAATGTCTAATTTGCTCAACTCTTTTATTATGTTTAATTTTATTTTATTTTTTTATTTTTGGAGGGGAGAGGACAAAGGCAAGGCATCTGAGTAGTCCTCTCATAGGAAGATGCTTAGATGAAACTGATGCTGAAAAGGAAAAAAAAAATGCTTTGATTTGTTTTCACTATGCACTTTGGATTTAAAAACAAAACAAACAAACAAATAAGGAGAGCCTTTTCCATAACCAAATACAGACAATATTGACTAAATCTCCTGAGCATATTCAGGCAGTCAGGTCTGCACTGTGATAGCAACCTAGTGAAGGAGAATGCTTTATACCGAAAAGCATGTGGCCCTTTGTGACTCTTTTTTGTTCTGTTTTTAACGTCTAATGATTAATTGAGGGGGGAAAAAGTCTAAGTATTTATGAATCATGGTGGACCAGAGGGTTACAAGAGAAGTTCATGTGGGGCTGGCCTCACCTCCTAAGAAATTAGTGTTCACAGCTTCCTTGTAATGGTATGAGCCTTTGGCACCACAATGATTTGCTGTTGCATTAGTACACCAAGAAGCCAATAGATCAAAACTTGTTTGCTAAAATGTATGTAAAAATCCTGAAATTCCCTATTCTCTGTGTACAAAACAAAACAAAAAAATCAAACAAACACTAAGAAACATGTTGGGGGTGGGTGGGTGGGGGAAATATTCCTTATATTTATATAAATATATATATAATATATATATTTTGCTGATGCAGTATACAGTGTGTATATATGTGTGTGTGTGTGTGTATGTGTGTGTAAATTTATATACACACACATGCAAACAGTTCCTGGAAGAGAACTCTGAATGCTTTGCTAGCAAAACACTGTGGTGTGCAAACCTAGAACTCAATAGAAAAAAAAGCCATTTATCTGAAGGCTGCGTAGTGGAGAGAGTCTTCAGTTTACCTCATTCTTTGTAGCAGCCCTTGATTTTAACAGGTTTTTGTAATAGGTACAAATAATCCCATACCTTTCTAGATCCAACTTTAAGTTAAGCTAAAATTCTTTGTAGGGTTAATTTATTTGTATATGATTGTAGAAGGTAAGATCACGTAAAACGTTATAATTTGGGGAATCTGACACTTTAAATTATTGGCAACTGTTGTCTGTTGTACAAAGGCTCTCTTTTTCTACTGGCTCAGTCTGTTACATGAATAATGCATTTTCTGTGTTCAAGCACACAACTTTACATAAATACAAAGTTCACTTCTAATATCCATTTATAATATTTTGGCTATCTCCAACACTAACTTTGCTCTGCTATAAAAATGAAATTTGTGTTCTTTTCATCTGTATGCAGTATTAACACATCTCCTTTACCAAAAACCTGAGCAATACAGTATTTTCTTTATATGCTATATGCCTTTGTTTGCTAAAAGCTCACACTTTTGTATTTACTTTAAAGGGCTGTACTAAACCCACAGCTTTATGTTTTCTCCTAGAAGCATTGCAGCTAACCTTTGAATCCATAATAGTTTTAAAATACAGTATTTCTCTTCTCCACGTTTCCATGCTTTCATATCAGTGCTTAGCTGTTATTCCAGGTGAACACTATGGACGACCTCCTGTTTGAAATGTGGGGCAGGAGGTTCTTTCTTGGCAATGGAGCTGAGTTTTTCTTCTCTTTAGTGAAACGGCAACCCAGATGTCCCCATCCAGTAGAGTTAGAGTCCCGTGTAGTCCGTGCTTCACACAAACAGAAATGAATGCACTGTTTTTTGAAAGTTCGATTATCAATTATAAAATGATTACTTCCGAGATGGGGCTGCCTCCTCAGATATTTAGAGAATAAAATGGAGGAGCCTGACGTGTTTCACACTGGCTTGTTTGACATTCATATATCTTACTGTTAGCCCAGCAGTATGTTATTGTGAAAGAAAATCCCAGTGTCTCAGCTCACTCAGGAGTCAGGAGAAGAGGTGAACCACCACTGTGGCGCTTTCCTTAAGTGTTCCGGGGGAATGTCACACCTTTCCTTCCCAGGGTCAAAGAAAGCTTTGGGAAATGACTGAAGGAGACCGTTCTTCCCCAAGTATTACCATGTCTAGTTAATTCTGAGAAAACCACTGGATGTGTTCTATGGACATTTGGGATTGCATTTCCCATTGTGATTTGATTGGTCCTCAGTCAAATGGATCACTTTGAAGGAAAGTTTTGGTTGTCACCATTAATACCACTGAGATAAAGTGTTAGCAAAGTATGGTTCAAATTAATTTATGATATGACCAAGAGCTTTTCTCTTCCAAAAGATGAATTTTATTGTAAATAGTTTCTCAAAATATTTTTAACTGGATCATGAGCATGGGGAGAGAAAGTTTCTCAGCTGCTAAGAATTTCCCCACTGTTTACTTCTTTCACTTGCAGTGGTATTACATATAAGGTTACAAAATGTAAGGTTTTATTTGTATCTATTACCCAAACCATTAAATTGTCTTTAATTTCGTCATTGTCTTGGCGGTCCAGTGCACAAAGGACTGATAGGGAAACCCTCCCTCTAACCAGTCAGGCACTCTAACCCAGGATTGAGACTGTCCCATCAAGTAGTATGTGAAGTCAAATCTTCGTACTCTTCCAGACCAAACAATGAAATGGATCCATTCATTTAAAATTCTATAAATCTGTAAGTGAAAAGATAGACAACTGTCAGCAGTTGCTTTTTAAAAAGGTCACTATAATAAGTACTACATAGTACGATATTAATTTATAGCAGGAAATCATATCTTGTAAACTGTATATAAAACACTGTTTTATGGTGCAATCATTTGTCAAACTTTTGTCTGTTACATTGTTTTTAAAGTGTGCGCATTCTTCTCAGACCTAAGAACATCACTGTAAAATCTGCTGAAAACTATTTGTAGGTTTTATTTGCACAAGACTTAGTTTGAAATTTTTGGAAGCTCCTATTGAACATGCTTAAACATCTGTAAACATGAAAAATCTTCGATTCATTAAAAGCAAACATTTCAGTATGATTCTTTCCAAAGGTAATCCATGTTCTATGTTGTTAATGTGTGTATGTAATTTTTCTGACTCTTCTACTTCTTATCCTATTTTCTCTTCCATTTGTTTTGTTTTTGAAGAATGGCTCCTCTTTTTTTTTTTTTTTTTAATGTTCTAAATGACCAAAACACTTCATTGGTTTTTACCCTTTGCCTAAAGCTTTGATATCCCTGCTTGATGTTCTGTGAATTCACTGTTTAATCCTTTAAGTAAAATAATAAACAGTCCTGGTGACATACAATCTATTGATTTAGAGGAAAGGCCCTGAAAAAGTATTGGAAACTAACTTTAGATATACTCTTAGCTATTATTTCGCATCGTGGGCTTCATGGGAAGAACATGTTGCATTTATTTTGTCTTTATTAAAAGACTACTAGCCACAAGTTACTCTGATTGCAGTAACTGTTTTATCAACCTGCTTTGATCTTCTTTTAAAAATTAAATTTACATTCACAATTCAAAACAGTAAGCTGTCTTTCAGAACTAATTTTTGAAGGATAAAAATATATGAAGGAAAAACATGGCCTGTGTAGGTTGAATTCCCTACACAGGACTTACTAGTTATATCACCTCAAGAGATTTTAGAGTTTGTGATCAAGGTCTGTATATTACCCCAAACTTTATTAAGAATTGTTTTCTAATTGGTTATAACATTTTTCAATTAATAGTTTCAAAACAAATTGTTAATACAAGCTGTATAAAATGAACATAATTTTCTTCACTTGTATTTTTGTTATTGAGCAAGTTTATCAAAATAAATTGTCTACTAAAGAAACTAAAAAGGCTTCTATTGCTTTGAAATAAGCTTTGACTTTAAGATTTTACTTCAGAAGTTGATTTCTTACGGAGATTTTACCGATTCACACAGTGACACTCCCACGCCTCTCTTGGTTTGGTTTCATTAGCATCGCACCAGGTGGTAGGTCTCCCTCTCTTCTTCGACTCCCGCTCCCAGCATCGTCCTTGGGAAGAGATGCCGTTACTATTCTAGAGTGTAGATGGGCCCATGATTACCAATAAGAAGAGTCACTCAGCGGTAAAAGACCATGCCTATGTGGCTGTCTCTTCTGCATCATGTTTTTATGGACTGGGAGAGATCCACTGAGCCAAGGCCCTCTAAGCCAGCCATCTTGTGTTTCTTTTTTCTTCACACTTAGACCTAAGCCATTCATCTTTGCTTCTGTGTCTACTTCACTGCAGGCCAAAGGATCTTGGCTTATAAGATTTTAGAATTGGGGTTGAAAGAGAGTACAGAGACCCTTAGTCTCTAGAATCATCCATGTGCTCCATTACAGCTTTACTGCACCTTTCTTGAGGGGTCTTGGGTTTAGCCCAGCCAAGTAATAGCTAATAATCAAATAAAGCACTGCATTTATTCTTTGCTACTGTTTCTCCTTTATATGGCCTTTACAGGAGCCTCATGGGGAGTATGAAGATAAAGACAAGATAGGATTTGGACATCCTTGAGTTCTGGATCGTGAAGGCATCTTATCTTTTTAGGGTGACCAGTCATCTCCATTTGCCTGAGACTGAGGGGTTCCCTGGGACATGAGACTTTCAGTGCTATAACTGGGAAAGTTCCAGGCAAAAGAGATGAGCTGATCACCGTATCTTTATAACATTCAAATCAATCCTGAGATATAACAGATGAGAGGTATTTGAATAGTTCATTAATACATTATGGATAGGTCAGTTGGAAATTATAATGGTAGACTTCCACTGAACTTCTAAGAGAGTGGGAGAAAATACTTTTCCTTCTTTTTGGTAATAAATTAGGAAAAAACAGACTGGCTTTAAAAAGAGTAACATGAAGGTGCCTAACTGGCTCAGTCAGTAAAGCATACAATTCTTGCTCTCGAGGTTGTGAATTCAAGCCCCACGTTGGGCATAGAGCTTCCTTATAAAACAACAACAACAAAAACCACAGTAACATGAGTCCAAAAACACCTTTTGACTTAGTCTTATTATACTAGCTCTGTTCTAACCACTGTAGAGAAGATTTTAGGAAAAATACCAAGACTAAAAGTACTGGGTTCCTCTTATGCAAAGTCAGCTCTTCTGGGTCACAGTTACCCAGCAACAAAATAAAAGTAGATATTTATAAATGGTATCAAAGATAGAAAGTATAATGCTGTATTTTTTTTTTAGAGGTTTGGTTCTTTTCCCAGGAGGAGAAAACAATGGGATGACATTTTCAAGCACATTCAAGTGTGCTACAAGTCACCCCCAGTTCCACTTACAGACTTACAACTACCTAAGATTAAATTTCAAGAAGAGATTTCTCATGAGACTCATAAGATTGTAGAGCTGGATGAAATCTAAAAGAGCATGTTCAGTGTTAACATTTTCCAGGTGAAGAAAATGAACGTCAAGGCCTCAGGAAACTATACCAGCTTTCCCAAAGTCACACAACCAGCAGAACACTCAACCCAGGAGAAAATGCCTTTGACAAATAGTCTTTGTGCGGTTGACCTAGGACAGCTGCCCCTGTTCTACAGCCATCTGAACCAGTCTTCCTTCAACTAATCTTCATCTACTTCGATCTGCCCAAATAACTTCTGCCTAGAATAATCAACACAAAAGCATATCATTTCTTTGAGTTCCTGTCATTCCCACTCTGCAGAATGAAGTCCCA